AGCTTTGCTAGCTAGAAAGGTAAAAACAAGATTTTAAAAGCCACACCGGCCACAGTATAGCATCACAAATGTATCTTGTTAAAATCCTTAAATGCAAAGGCCGAATGAGTGCTTCATTGGCCAAGATATGTTACAGTTTAAACATGTGTAAGAATGTGCCATTTGCCAAGATGGAAAGTCAACTAAATGTGCTCCTTTTCCACCTGCCTCGTGTGTAAATTTCCAACATCTGTATTTGCTGTAGGGTGGCTGTGAAACAAAGTGAAACCTTGCCAGCTTAACTAAATGGATCAACGCCATGTATAACTTTGCCAAGTTTGTAAATAATGTAGATGTCTAAGTTTCCTTTACCTTGTGCTTACCCACTTCTCTCTTCCAGGGCCTGTTGACTGACTTGGATAGATAAATCAATTGATGGCCCTGAGAAAGTGGGTTGTTAATTCCTTCAAGAATCAACTGATATTAAACTGCAATATGAAATCGGCCATGCCTGCGTATACAGACTACGGAGAAAAGGAACACTATTATTAGATTCCCAATAACAAGTTTGACCACAAAACGTTATTTATTACCCTATGCGACAAGACAGCAAATAATTCAGGCATAGACATGATTTATTTGGTCCAAGTACGGCCAGAGCAGTTTATTGTCGGAAAATTCTCGCATCCACAATTGTTTTCCAGTCGTAGTGACTCCGCAAAAGCTTACTTGCGTTTTTGCAACCGCAAATTGTGATCAAATATCTATCTCCAAACTTGTCGATTGGGTTCAGACTACCTTTCCGGTCGCCGCGATCTGCGAAAGGTGTTTCGCAGAAAATGCACGGTTTCCGGTCTCTGCGATCCTCGAAGCCTTCCCACACTGCTGCAATTTCACAAATCATTCCCCAATAACGGGCTTGACCACAACATAACGTCATTTTGACATGGCTATAACCTCCTGCTCAAATTTCAGAAAGCTAAGGAGATATGAAAAGGGCCTGTATGTACTTTTAACACAAAACGTAAATCAATAGTCCATTGAGGTACCAGACTTAATGATGGATACCCCAGGTTTCATTTTCCGAATTCACTTGTTAACTGATCGTTTCCTGAATTTTTTTCTGATTATTTTGTAACAGACAGTCGGAACAAAATTTAAAGGGTAGCTGCAACCAATTTGTTCAATACAAATCTTCAAAATGCACCTTTGTGTCTCAGTTTACCCTGTTTTCATTGCAACTCTAAATTATTTGAAAGGCCATTTTACTGTCTTCTTAGTGTTTTATGCAAAAGAGGATTTCCGTATCCGTGACCCTAACCGTGATGTCAGTACACTCAGAAAGACACAAAAAGTCACATTTGTGTCTGCTGGACTCTGTTTTCGCGTCCTTACTGATTCATCAATCTGCAAGTATCCATCCCTCGCTCAAAATGTTTTGAAACAGGAATATTAAGGAATTTTCATACGCTCAAAAGTATACAAAGTTGAATAAAAATTATCTTAGAGGAATTCATTGCAGCTATGCATTAATGGTTGAGATCGACCCTTATTTCCACGTACATTTGGCAATATTCGATTTGGGGAGGGGGAATATATTATGTAGAAAATATCACTCGCTCTCTTCCCAACAAAAAGATTTCCAGGAAGTGAATCCAATACAATCTTTTGTATAGTTCAATAATTTTAAAAAATAAAAGACCAAAGCAAAAAATAAACCACGCTCGTACGTCCAGGTTTCTCTCCATATTGGGGCGCCCCCTTCTGTAAGTACCAGGCAGCCGCTCTTTCTTTGAATATGCTGGATCCATTACTGGTTCCCATTATGCTGGTACTTTGTAATTCTGTGATAGAAGCATTTTTCCACCTACAAGGGTTTTTCTCCAAGACTCAAAAACTGAGATTTCAGCGTGAAACCTGAGTTCAATCTCACACTCTGTGGACTTTCAATTGGTTTGTATCAGGCGTCACTGCCAGCAATGCTGGTCACTCGTTTACGGCAACGACTTCAATGTGACAGTCCCAGGTCGAATACCTTGCATTAGTTGACGATTGCTGGAGCCTCTCTGCAAAGAGGCAGACGGCTGTTCGGTCCACCTGTCCATCAAACCGGCCGATTTACCGGCAATCAGCACCGACACAAACAGGACGCAGAAAACCAGCAGAATGAAAGGACCGCAGGCGGGTCCGTGTGCAACCAAAGTTTAACTAGAGACGACCAGACAACCGAGGCCCTGCTGTACTTTCCTTCTCACCGTGATCATGGCAGACCGGCATCCGCCGAGCAAACGGCAGGGCAAACGCATTGGTTTACAGTCAGTCTGCTGACAATCACCCAGACTCTAGACAGTATATTCTCAATTGAGATAGTAGAACTTTCCAATCGATAGCATCTTGTCTTTGCCCATACCCCATATACTTTAAACATTCGTTAGCAGCAGCAGTGTTTTCAGTGAAGGCTAGTGATGGATATACATGAAGTATTCCTTGAGACTTTGTAAGGATGGTTGTTTCCCATAAACACCTCATCTTTACGTGTAAGAACAAGCATACAGACACCATCAGCATTGTTACTTCCCCGCGAAACAATACCACGCAACGTTCGATTGCAGAAACCCTTTGGACTGTTACCGTCACGGATGAATTACCCGTCCCGGACCTGCAGACGTGACAACGGCCACATGACAGTACGTACGTGTTCCGTCTCTCTCCCTCGTCCTGGACGGCGTTCCATCACAGTGTTTCCCACTTCCTTATCCCCTGGAGGCTAAAAACCAATTGAATCGCGAGTCATGTTCCCAGAGAAAGGTGACAAAGTGGAAGGCAGGAAAAATTGCCATTTGGCTTAAAAGCCCGGACTATTTGTGAGCGCAGACTAAGAGCTTCGGCTTTTGTTCCGACAAGAATGGGCCCTAAAAGTGAATGCGGGGTAAATAATTGCCAGTCGCCGTATCATATTTCCTACAATCGAGCCTTTTACCAAATATGTTCCCTCGAATTTTCCGCGTTCCAAAGGACAGTGACTTTTTGTCACCGGAACTGAAGTGCATGTGGCTAACCAGAAGTTGGGGTTACATCTGGTCCGGACCGCTCTGAAGGCGAGACACGACTTGTCGATCACAACTATCTTCTAGATTCTTTGAATCTTGGATTCTTTGAATCTAGACCGCAACGTGTAATGAATATAAATGGAAAAGTTTAGTGACTAGAGGTAGGGAGCAAAGAAAAACCTCATGCTCCTTAGAGGGTACTATCACCATGTTGCAATAGCACGTGTCGTATTGCTACATGTACTTCAGCGGCACGGATTTACCTTCAAGAGTAGAGCCGCTTTCCAAGTAATGAGACTCAATTAAGGAGTGGCTAGTTTAACCACAAGACCCTTGGGGGGGGACCAAGGCTGGACCGGAAGCTTAGGGCCATTGAGAAAGTACGCCGGCCTTATAAGGAAAAGTCAGTATTTGACGTATTTCAAATACCACTAAGCGATTCTTTGCAATACACATTATTAGATTCTGTACTAAAATGCGTGGAGACATTTTGGAACGTTATTGAAGAGTCGCGAAGAGTATCACCGACGTTAGTTAAAATCACTCTAGATGTCTGATTCTGTAAGACCTCCGACATAAAATTAATTACAAAAAAGAGGCAACACACGAAGGTTTACCTCAATTCTAGTCATTGTACGTGTTCAGGTCAAGTTAATCTAATCCATTCAGAATTGCGTACCTCGTCGAAGCCCGCGGACAGATTGCAGTAACAGCTGCAGGGAATATCGGGGAAATTTCCTGAACAGGACACAATATGAAGGTTAAAGGCGGCAAACCGAATCAAGCTATCGTCTGCGGATGATTTCCCTCGTCTGTGTGCGCGGTACACTGGGGAAATCACGAGAAGTGACGAGGCTTTCCACTGATCCTAGAGTGTTCGAGGATCTTCGCGGGAGAAATTGGGAAGAATGGGTGTGTGGTGCGTGGATACCATGGTTATGCATTGGACCAAATGCCAAAGGTCGAGACCGTGGGGTTTCTTCGGGTTTTTTGGTTGTTGTTGTTGTTGTTTTTGTTGTTTTTTGTTCGGTTTAATTTGTTTTTGTTTTGGTGTAAAAATGCCTGAAGACAAAAGTTTCAGAGTTAGAGCTTACCGGCAGAATATCATAGTCCTTCAATGGGTTTTGCCCTTACACATCGTACATTCAAAGCACTATATGCTCGGTGTTGCCTAAGGGCTTCCGCCGAAATTCACAAGCTTTACTCCCTATGAATATACGTAGTAGTAAGTGCAAAACCCGCATTTCAAAATTAACATCTCCCCGACGGTAAGTACATCTTTAGAATTCTTAACTCTTATTTTATCTGGAGATAGCTCTGCCAAAAGAAAACTTGAACTTTGGAATGAAGAAAAAAGCAAATAACATAATCCTAATTATTCAAGTCTAACTCAAAGGTACGAAGAAATGGAACGTTACTGGTAGACAATCCAACATTCCTGAAGGTTATACTTTAAACGGTATTTAGTTTAGACATGCTCCCTGACAACTTCCAGTTTGTTACTTGAGTTAAGGGAAGGAGTTAGGTAGCAATATACAAAAGATATAAGCAATTAAAGACTTGGTTTCTTCTGACGTTGGAGTGTCGAAACAAAACACATAATGTGTACACCTTGCATAATGACAGCGTAGCCCGTTACAACTTTGTGGCAATCAAAACACGATTTAATGGCGACCACATCGTCGCAGTTAGCCTGCCCGAGACTTAGCTTGATGACCATGCTATTAAAAAGAAATCTAACCCCGTTCTTCCGTCAACATCCTCTCTCGCCGACTCTTTAAGACGGCAAATTGCATTTCGTTCCTTTAAAGTGAAATCAACCACGAGTTCCTCGTTTCTTCTTGAAGTTACAGGGATGTCTTAGAAATTGTAAATGACACAAATTGAATTTGAGAACCGATTCAATAAGGCAGCATTCTGCAAGTCCACTATAGTTAAGATTTAATTAATAAAAACCTTCAGAATACTTACATGTTGTTGCTGCTGGCTTTGATTTTACTGTTTGTATTGGGCAAGTAGAGAGACCCCTCAGCAGCTCTTGCGTGATTTGAGTCCTTAAACCTAACTACCGGATGGGACCATCGTGATCATTAATCATCCTCACTTGGACACTTCTCAAGGTAGGCAAACTTAGGGTTGATGTACGACTCTACACTCCGACGCCTCCCGGTTGCCAGGAGCTTGCTGTATGAATTGCGGCATCTTTGGTAGAGTTGCCACTGGGTCCACCCTACCATCAGGTTAGTTTATATTGATTTGATTCAATCAAATCACAAACAACATCCATAAGTAATGAGACAAGAGCAGTAGACAATCGTCTCCCTTGAGATTTACACTGCCTTTCGTCCAACAGTCTATGTTAGCAAAGATTTACTTTTTGCCCTTTGTCAACAAACACGCAACTCTAATATTCACATTTAAAGAAAAATGCTCGCAAGCACTGCGTGCATGTGCTGTGGTTGACCAAACAGCGCCATCTACTGCTCTGTTTTTTTTCTATTGAGGGCGTTAGGCTTGGAAATACACAAAGCACGACCCATTTCTCTGGTTTTATACTAAATCCCCATCACAATCAAGCACGGCCTTATTGCGTCCTCAAGAGATCAGGAGAGCGTGGCCAGTGGTGACAACATCTTGTTCACCTGTAGTAAGAACTTAGTGGGAACTGTTAGCAATGGGGTAGGGTCTTTATGGATAAGAGGTCGTTCCAAAGGTTTTGAACATGCTTAAAATTGACGTAACAAGGTCAGAGTGACTAGAAATAGTAGTAAGACCTTTCAGACGTGGTACAAAAGCAGCTCGATCTGTAATACCTTTATGTCGTTCCCATATCAGATAACTGATGGGGTGTATTGTTTTAGACCATATGTAGAGGAAACGCTGGGGAACGTCACGGCAGCCCGCTACAAGCATACCGCACACGTTATACAGGTAGCAACAACGTAACACTATCGGATTGTGTTCTGTTAGGTCATTTTACAATTGTATCAAAGTCTGTTACATTGTGGAATGATCCGACAGCATCTTAGAAAAGTTTTTACTCGCGTTCGCTTTAATCGTGCCGAAAACACGAACTCCATACATTTGCCAGCGACGCAGTAACAACATGGTACAATCTTAATTAAATTAACTTTTTTCTTCCTCATTTTCTCAAATCATCCTATCCCAACCACGTTTTACCAAGCGGAGTCTTGAGGTTCGTCTTCAGATTGCGTAGGGGGCATTAAATGCAAGTTGGGCCTATCAATATCTGACTCCTCCGAAACAAGCCGCCATGAAAATACATCATGTTTTGGGTAGTGGAGAAAATGAGTTTCCCATTGCTCTGTATAAATTTTTCCCATTTCTTGAAGAAAGCTACAAGGAATAAGAGGATTATTAGACCAAGTTCTGAAGCAGGAGAGGAAGTCAGGAAGTCAAACACGATTCTAACTCCTCCCCACATCAAAACCCTGTATAACTCTTCTTTCATAATTAGTCGCCGTATCTTAGTCAAAACACATTATAAAGTAACGTAACATGCTTGATTACAATAAAGAATACCTACGCTTTACACTCTAGGGTCGTGCACAACCGATGAGGCAGGTAGAGAAACCTTAAGGCGGAATATCAATCCGCGACTGCAAAATCCATGCATTTGACCCCGCCCCATGACGGTGGTGTTATGTATGACGTAGATCGGGCTCCCTCAGGGACGATGTGGTCTAGAATCTTCGGTCACACTTTGGTGAACTCTAATTGGGTTTTGAGTGACACTGACTTCGGCTAATGACGTGAGCCGAGCTGATGTAATTTGATTTGAAGTCCAATATCCAGCGCATGCCCAGCGCATGCCCACCACGAAACACACATGACGATAAGCCTGGATTTCCTGTGTAAAAAGGAGTGTATGTTTATTCTTTCAGTGCGCGATAAGCTCTAATTTTTGCCACCTAAACCCATAACCTGGCCCGTCTTTGTGGACATTATTCTCTCTTGCTGGACACACGAACTCCCCATTCACACCTTTTTGTTCCACACTTTCACCCCTTCGTGTTACCCTATCATGACCTTTCAAATTGTCAGTGCCATGGAATAATTACTGTGCTCACGGAGTATAAGACGGCTATGTCCTTTTTAAAGAGGAAAGATAAATTTCAATGCAACATCTCCCATTAATTTAAGAGCTCTTCAATGCTACTCAGGCACACAAAGAATGCTGCCAAATAAAAAGCATTTTTCTCTCGGACGGTGCACATCATTTCCAGATAACCAAGCGGGCTAAAAATGTTGCATACTAAAAGGGCTGTAGTCTACTGTATAGTAATGTGATCCTTCAACTTTGGAAAGAAATACATGGACGTATGCGCATAGTTTTCAAAGTAGGCGTGTGCGCTAACCGGCGAAATGCCAAAGGGTGCATACTATACTTCAAGCGAGATATCGCGTTTTTTAATGATACAGCGCCCTTCGTTGATCATCTTTATTTTTAAAAGCTGACATCAAAATCGGGCAAGCAACGAAGAACGGTAGGGTCAGCACAAAGTGTACGCGCCAAATTTCGCTCATATGGCGTGGATTATAACGCCGGAGTAAATTTCATCTAAGATTAATTCATTAACCCTATAATGCACAAGCCGGAATCATGAGGGCACAGACGACCGTGTCGAGTTTAGGCTCTCTCTGCTTGTCATTCTCGAGGGGCGTGTCGAGTTTAGGCTCTCTCTGCTTGTCATCTCGAGGGGCTATTGAGGCACAGGGTACAATGTCTACTACCTGCCACTGCTACCCATGGATTCATTTTTGATATCATATAATGCAATTGATACAAACAACACCGTTCCCAGGGTTCAAGGCAAGTGATCATTTCATGTTCAGTCATGGTAATGTACCACAGACACACATAGTTTATTGGCACGGACACATTATGCCTCAAATGCTGTTTAGCATAACTGTTACAGTTGGGAAGTGTGCGTGGTATCCCAAGCATGGACAACCGCAGATCTTAAGAGGGGGGGGGGGATTGCCATATAAGCGTGTGCAAAGGTACTCTTAATGTGGTTGACCCTTTTTACGGAAACCACATAAGAACCACTTTTTTGGTGTTTCGTGGCGTGAGCCATTTATTTTCTCTCTATGTGGTTTTTCCCAGTATGGGGTTTTGGTTTTATGTGGCTTGACCCGAACTATTTGACCTTTAAAACTGGCTCGCATATAACTGTAGTATTGATTGCCTTATTTCTAAAGCCCAGCATAGTTTATTCGTAGTACTATTTTTCAGTTAATTTGTCTTGATTTGTGATACCATTTTTTTATATATATATCTCGTTACGATTGAAATAATTGCAGCCACTTATTATTGTTTTTTACCGTTAATGGCTACTATGGGGTTGAGCAAGAAACCTGGAGTGGGGAGGGGAGAGAGGGGAGGAGACAAGACAAAGCTAATATTTTCTATTGCATTTCCCAACTCTCCAAAAGTGGTCCCCAGAAAGCTCGGTTCTGGACACGCCCTTGACTAAGTTATCCAAACTTAGTTCATTCCCAGGCATTACTTTATTCCACGTCATTCCAGTGGGAGCCTTCAGCCTTGCAACCGTCACCCCGCTTCACGATTAGGCCTGGATGGAGCAATGGCAGTTGGACTTATATTGTGTATGGTGTTACTAATGTCAACGTGAATCATGTATTTTGAAGGAAATAGGTAAAAAAGACGCCGCAAACCTTTTGTGCGCCGAACTATACAACGTAAGGACTGGAAACCATGAAGAAACAGCAAGCCAATAACAGAACGCTGAACGAACTGAGACCAATGTCGAAAGAGCAGAGGGCGCTATTTGCACCGGGAGCTTGAGAGTTTAGACAAAATAATGCCTTGCAGTTTTCAGGATGGTGAATACTTAATTTATAGTAGATCTTATAGATGATTCCTCAAGAGTTGTCGTTGACTAATTAGGGGACCAGACTATACTGCAGTTTTTACAAGCGTAGAGATTACTGTTCAATCTCCCGTGCTAAGAAGGAAGGAGGTAAGAGCGCCCCCGTTCTTTGTATTTTGCACTCAAAGTGTTTTTTTATACAGTTTTTTTTGTAATACAAATAACGATATGACAGATACATTACAGATATTGTGGTGAGATGCTGGTTATCCCCTCCACATCCGTTTAATTGGTAGTCTTATTTCGAGCAGTGGAAGACTGAGACCAGTGGCCGCACACACAAATCGATATCCTTCATTTTTCAATTGTGTACAGGCTATTTTTATAGGACCATAAACAACATACTTCAACTGTGAAATTCAGAATTTGACCTAGGTTTGACCCACAGGTAGCTGAAGATATGTGCTCTAATAGCCTGCCGTTACAACAGATTCTGAGGCCCATGAACTGCAATTATGGGTATTTACTCCTGGGCAGTGGGGTATATAACCCCTCCATTTTTGAACAGGGTGATAGGGTATTTTTTGTGTTGAAAAAAATTAAAATGCATTCTGAAGAATTTTTCGGACTTCCAATCAACCAAAATATATTCAAAAGCATTCAAAAAGGGAGAACAGCAAAATCTTAAATATGCCGTTCTGAAGTAAGATTCTGCATGTACATAGGTAGCAGCATCATCGCCCTCTAGGTAAGATCACATGGTGTCAATATCCCCCCGGCATTGATTATCTGGGATAAGATTGTTTTATAAGATTTTTATAAGGTTGTCTTATTTGTCCGGGAAGACTCGTCTAGAAAGAATATGCTACGTGTGTAGCGTACAGTATTTGAAGGTTTGAAAGATTTGATCGGCTAAATGTCCACATGTCATTGGCAGCCATCTTTAGTTGAACATTTGAAAGTGTCTTTCTAAAATAAGGTCAAAGTTTAGCCAGTGGCCAGTACCTGGCACTTTTTACAAATACCCCAATGGGGTATTTCTCCGTAGTACTGAAATGGTTGTGGTAACATTAGTTCATGCTCATCAACTTGGAACCAGTATTATTATAAAGGGTGCTCTAGGCACGTCACAAAAACAAAAAAGGTAACACTGGGGCAATCAACAGAAATTTCTAACTTTTGTTTGTTCCAATCGTGTCTAGATCTGTTCCCTTGTTGCTTTTGTATAAAA